GGAGCATTACAGAAAGGAGGAAAAATTGGAAAGAGTCGGCAATTTCGAGTCGAATACAAATTGTAGTCACTCTGCATCTCTCCCCCGCGAAATGTGGTTCAAAGGGCTTGCAGCTCACACTCTCTCTCTCCACGGGGAGACGCCGAGAATTTGGTTCGGATTGGCCGTTTTGCGTCAGAGGGAAACCCTTCGGCTTTACGGACAGAGAGGAACGTGCATTCGCAGATTGCCGTTGCAGCGTTCGCACTCTTCGAAAGGGCGCAAAGCGGTTCGACCTTGGTGTGGCGTGAGAGAGAACTCACGCTCGCTCTCTCTGTTTGAGCTCAGTTTGTCCAAGGTCGAAGCGTCAGCGTAGGATCGATTGCAATGCGCTTCATCGTCACTGCTCTCTTGACCACCATCTCATACTTACCCGAAGCAACACTCACATCGCACACCAAAACACAACCATGTCCGCCCCTCAGCTCAAGTGGAAGATCGCCTTCGGTTGCGACGAGGCCGGTGTCGACTACAAGAACGCACTCATCAAGGACTTGCAGAACGACCCTCGCGTCGAATCGGTCGTGGACGTCGGTGTCCCCTCCAACGCGGACAAGACGGCGTACCCGCACGTCGCCGTCACTGCTGCTCGCAAGGTGGCCAGCGGTGAGGTCGACCGTGCGCTGCTCATCTGCGGCACCGGTCTGGGCGTCGCCATCGCCGCCAACAAGGTCAACGGCGTGCGTGCCGTCACTGCGCACGACTCGTACTCGGTCGAGCGTGCGATCCTATCGAATGATGCGCAGGTGCTCTGCATGGGCCAGCGTGTCGTCGGTCTCGAGCTCGCCCGCAAGCTCGCCAAGGAGTGGCTCGGATACAAGTTTGACACCTCGAGCGCCTCGGCCGCCAAGGTGCAGGCCATCTGCTCGTACGAGGGGGTTGCTGACAAGCAGTGAGCGAGCGATCCTGTACTGCAGCTCGTCAGCGAGACTCACGCCTGTCATGCTCTCAATTCGCTCTTCATCATGTGCGCTTCTAGTGCTCCTTCCGTCCAAATAGATATCCTCGAGCAATCGTCCCACCCGTCTTTGCATCTTTGTGTGTGTTGCTGCCCCATCATTGAATCGCCAAGTGTGTTCCTTGCAATCGAGACTCTGTATCGTGACCTTGGCTCGCTATGTCAAGTAGCTTGCCATCATCGTCATTCGCCACAGCAGTTCGACATCGTCAAAGGAATTTTGTGCCTGATTGTGACAAGCTTCCGTGCTAACATGTTTTGCCCCAAAAAAAATCAGGGCCACTCCACACGTTTTTCTCGAGCATGTGTTGCTCTCTCTACAAGCCTAAATTTTTTTCTTCTTTTCTTCTCGTTCTGGTCAGGGTTTGGTTTGAGAGGAAAAGCTTCAACGGCTGTTCCGAGTCGGATTGACCGTGGTCCTTCTTGCTTCTCACCCATCACACGTCCCTCCTTTGACCGTTGCGTCTGATCGATCGGCAGCACTCCGTCCGCCGCCTCGCAACACAGCCAAGATGCCCAAATCCGGCTTTGATCCGCAGCGCCATCAGCGCAAGCTGCACCGTCACAACCCTCTCTCGAAATCCGCCTCAGCGTCGGCGAGCAGCAGCGCTCACGCTTCTCCCTCGTCGGTGTCATCCGCCACTCTCGATGCGCTTCAGCAGGCCACAAAGATCGCGAGTGGCGGTGGCGGTGCATCCCACTCGGCGCCTTCCGACAGTATCGTTCCTCTGCTCGCAAACCTGCCCGCGCCAGACACCGCAGCGACCACCGCCACCATCAACCTCGCGGACAAGGTCTGGTCGCTCGCCTCGGTATCATTGCTACTCACCGTCAGCCCAACCCAGTCCGCCGCCGAGGTCAAGCACCACCGCAAACTGCTGCTCTCCCACAACCTCGTAGGCAGGCTCCTCCTCGCCCTCCAGTCCCACACCGAGGTCGACGTCAGGCGCGAAGCGAGCGGCGCTCTGCGCAACCTCTGCGTCGACTCGGGCATCGATGTTCGCAACCAAGTCGTCAACAAGGGCGGTGTCCCCGCCATCCTCTCGGCTATGCGCTGGGCAAGCAATGCGCTCGGATTCGATGCAAGCTCCAGCGCAAACCCGTCCGTCTCGTTTGTCGACGACGCACCCACCCAGGAGCAAGACCTCGAGGCCAAAAAGGCGCTCCTCTCCAAACCGCTCGACAAGATGAACAAGAAGGAAAAGCGACACGCCTCCAAGCTCGCCGCTACGCTTGGAAAGACGCTCGAGCAAGTTGCTGGTCACGGCCTCTCGGCTGAGGATGAACACAAGCTCGTCGCCTCGTCCAGCCACGATGCTACGGGCAACGACGCCATGGATACTTCTGCTGCAGCCTCTTTGACATCTCGCAAGGGCGAACCATTCCTCGGCCTCGATTCCAACACGCGCAAGGGTCTCATCGAGATGGCAGAGAACCTCGTCACCGTGGTGTGGTGCCTGTGCGAGTCGGGCGACAAGGCGTTCGCAAAGCTTGTCTCGTGGAAGTGGCTCGACCAGGACGTCGTCGGTGCCGGTGCTTCCAACGACGAGCTCAGCGGTCAAGGGTTGGCAGCGTGGCTCTCGTCTGCTATCGCGCTCGGCTCAAGAGCCGCTTCGGTGCTTTCCACTGCCGGCGCGGATGGATCTCGTGCAACTTCGTCCCTCGCAAGCGACTTGGCCGCAGAGACGCTCGGTGTCCTCTCCAATGAAGAGCTTTATCTCTTGCTCGATCTGGCGCTAGCGTCCGGTAACGCTCTTTGCGCATTGACCGACGGCGGTGAAGCCGACTTTGTCGATGGCTTGCTTTCACGCAAGTCTTCCACGCCACCTCCCAAGCCATCCAAGAAGAAAGGTGCCAGACCCGCCCCTGCCGTTGTGCCTCAAGCACCCATCGCAACGTCGCTCGACGAACAGCCAGCTTCCGCCACGCGCTGCCTCGCTGCCATCCAGACCGCCCTGACCCTCCTCGAAGCCTGCGTCCAGACCGACGCGTCCAACATGGACAAGCTCAAGCGCTACGTCCTCTCGCAAACCACCATGCTCGGCGTCCTCTCTGCCGGCATCTTGCGCAACATTGCCGCTGCCGTCGACACCAAAGCGGCGGCTGCCTCGGCGCGCTCCAAGTCGTCGCGCAAGCACGCTGGTGGTGCGGCTACCCTCACTTCGTCCAACATCTTTGTCCCTGCAGCCAAATCCAACGCTGCTGCTGCGGACGGCATCTCGCTGAAAAAGTACGAGGAGAGCGTCATCCTGCCTACCCTCACGCGTCTGCTGTCCGGCGTCGACATGACCAGGCTCGCCCACGATCTCGATGGGCGAGGCGATGTCGGCGAGGCCGTCTCGCTCGACTCTAACGCCAAGGACGGCGGACTGGACGAGGCTGCGCTTCGAGCCAAGATGCAGGGCAAAGCAGAGGAAAAGGCGCAGACGCTCATGCTTGCGCTCGAGGTGCTCGCCGAGATGGCTGCCAGTCTCGACTCGCGTGCCGCTGGCGGGCTGGCCGAGGAGGACGACGAAGACGAGTGGCTGGAGGACCTCGATGCTGAGGACCAAGAGGCGGACGATGAGGACATGGACATGGAGATGGGTGACGATGACGACGATGACGATGGCGAGGATGGCGACGGAGCAGAGGATGAAGTGGATGCGATGGTGTCCAAGGACGACGACGACATGGGTGTCTCGCGACAGTCGACCAATGGCGATACGTTTGCCGACGCGGTCAAGCGCAGCGGCACGCTGCCCTTCGAAGCGTACGCTCCCATGCTGTCGTCTATCTTTGCCGGTGCGACCCCTTCGCTCGCCGGCGCCCTGCTGACGCTCGCACGGCCCTTCGAAGCCTCGTTCCCGTCCCTCACCTCGGCCGCGGCCGCTACGGACAGCTCCGCATCGGGGCTGCTGCGCGGCCTGCACCTGCGCTCGCTGTCGGTGCTCAACAACCTGCTTCTTCGACTCGCCACCTTTTCGCCGCCTCCGCCGTCGCAGCCTGCTACGGAGCCCAAGGCGCAACGCCGGATCGCCGCCTTCCGTGCCTGGACGCAGGGTGCACCGCAAAAGAGCACGCTCGACGAGGTGTGGAAGAGTCTGTTCGAGATCGCCAAGGGATGTGCTAGCGTTCCTGCTGTAGCTGACGCCGGAGCTGGGATCGTCAAGCCTGCTGGACCCGAGGGTGTGGTGGAGAGTATTGGTTCCAGCGTCGGCGCTGCTTCTCCTGCTGCTGGACAGGGCGAAGGCGGTGATGGGCTGAGCATGGTCGAGACGTGCATTGGCACCATGTGGTCTGTCGCACGCTTGTTTGAAGGCTCTGTCGAACTGTCCCCCACCAGCAACACGTCCACACCCGTTTCGAGCCCGGAAGCCACGGCGTCCGAGATCATCATCGCGCTCGTGTCCGGCTACACGTCGGCCACGACCGACGCGATGCGCGTGAAATGCATCCTGCTGCTCTCGACCATCGCGCGCTCCGCGTCGGTGCACATCCAGCTCAACGCGTACATCGGCCATTTCCTCGTCTCGATCCTCGAAGCCATCCCGGACCACGCTGCTGGCGGCACCACAGCGGAGAGCATGCTGGCGGCGATTAACGGCATCATCGACACGTATGCGGACGAGACGAGCCACTACGACGAGGCTGCGTTCCGGGGCGCCAACTTGCTCGGTAGGGTGCGGCTGACCGTGTTCAGGTGCAAGGCGCTCGCGAGACAGGTCGACCGCCGCAAGCAGACTTCGCTGCGCGAGAGCGCCGAGGAGGCGTTGGAGAATCTGCAGGGCTTCGTCCAGTATCGACAGAGCTTGCGGTTTTAAAGGGGGGAAAGGCTGCGTTTTGTCTTGTTTATCAAGTGTTGACATTGTTCCAGCGTATATGTGTGTGTGAGAGAGGAGAGAGTGGGTGAAGGCAGGTATGGGTGAGTGAGGGCGAGAAGACAGGCCAGTCAGTCCGTGAGGCTCACGATTTTTTGTACAGATTGGTCATAAGTTCAACGAAAATCAAGAGCAGCATACAAGCATTGATAGTGTAGGGGTATCATGAGTCGTTGCCACTCATCGCTTGTCTGAAAGCGTGACTACCGATTCGACTCGACCGGGGTTCGAGTCCCCGTCAATGCATTCTTTTTTTTTTTCTCTCGCTATTTTTTGTGAATGTTCGGATCGACTGCACGGTAAATTTAGCATCTTGGAGCTGGACGGCTAGAGACGGAGTATGCACCGCGAGTGTGTAGTGCGAACGAGGGGATGCCGAGTCGGGGATTCAGAGCGTCGCAGGAGACCTTTGTCACGCGAATGCAGACATGGACTCAAGCCACGACGCACAGGATCGACTCGATGGGAGCAGACGCTGCGAGCTTCGCGTCCACACAGAACGTACGGTTGTACGGGAGCAGTTGCTGGAGGTGAGTCGAATTCAAAGCGCTTGCCTGCGTGTGTTGACTGTGAGAGTGCGCGGGGTATGTGTATGTACAGCAGTGTTGTTGTGCGGTTTGAGCCATGGGATTTATACGTGTTCGGTACCGGTATCATTGTGGTCGTCTTGGTTGCAGCAGCTGTTCTCTTCGTGGTCGTCGTGGTTGTAGCTGCTCTTCGACTGCAGCGCTTCCGCGCAGCTGCGTGCGATCAATGCATTTCGAACGAGAACCCCTAGCATCACCAGCAAGCGCTACTCGTCAGCCCCTCTGCCCCTCTCTCTCGCGCTTTGGAGTCAATGAAACTTACATCGGCAATCTCGTAGTCGGCGAGCGTAATGTGGTCCTTGTACACGGTATACCATTTCTTGAGGATGATCTGCACAAAACGAGGTCAGCAATACTCTTCCGAAGCGAATCGGCGTGGGGGCAAAGGCTTACCTTTTGCGGCGGCGTACCCGTCTGCGCGGCGATGAGCTTCTTCAGATCGCCAATCGTGTCGTCTGGCGAGCATTTCACCCGCACTGTATCGTAGCACGCAGGGAGAGAGGGAGAAGGGGCAAAAACGTCAGTAACACATTGGCGAGGTTACACAAAGATGGGTAAACGCACCTTTGCGACCCAAGCGGTCGTTGGCGAGCACTTCGATCATCGGCATGTTTGGTGGATGATGGTGGTGGTGGTGGTTGATGCGCAAGGAAAAGTGTTGGTCTTCTTGTCTCACAAAAGTCGACGGTGATTCCTCCACTTTTGACCGAAAAAAAAAGAAAAAGTGGAAGGTGGGAATCGAACCCACGACCTCAAGATTTTTGTACGCAGAGCGCCATTCTCATGGAACGGTGACATTGCAATCTCACGCCAAACCACTAAGCCTCTCCCACTGTGTTGCCCTGGCTGACCTCACAGTAGCAATTTTAGAGCATAGCATCATGGGGGAGACATGCTCCAGCAAGCGATGGGGCGATGTGCGAGGTGTCTTCGCATCTGGATCCAAATCCATCACGAGCGTATGACGCGCGCCGCATTTTTTTGGTGGGAATTGCACGTGTGACAGGCCAAGAGGTGATTGCATTTCCGATGTGGAGCGATAAGAAAGCCTCACACTGCTCGACAGTGACACAACAATCACCGCACCGCCGCTTGTTTCTGTTCAGACCATCACCACCATCGGCTGTAGCGAGCATCGCTGAAAAGGGCATTCAAAATGGTAAGTGTCGGGACAAGCGCTGATGCACTCGACGTACACTGACACGCTTCACACCACGCAGACGAGAGCCGAAGCAACACACATCTCGATCGAAACCCCGGCACCACGCCCGCTCTCGTCGTCGCCGCTCTCGCCACACCGCAAGTCGCCGATGCCGCCGTGCTCTTCGTCGACATCCGCGCCGCCCGCCGAGATCGAAGCGACGCTGACACGGCTGTCGTCGCACCAGGGCGTGCTGGGCTGTCTGGTGCTGAGCCGCCATGATGGGCTCGTGATCCGCAGCGGCGGGCAGATGTTCGAGCCGAGCGGACCGGGCGCCAAGCAGCGCGCCGAGATGCTCAAGAGCGTCACGAGGCTCGTCAAGAGCAGTGTCGAGAGTCTGGCGAGCGATATCCGCGCGATTGACGAGACGGTGAGTTTTTCGCTGTGCTTTGCGTTCGAAGAGGATGGCATGCTGACTGCACGAAAACAGGACGAGTTGGGCTTCATGCGAGTGAGGACGAAAAAGTACGAAATCATGATCACGCCCAACGACAAGTACCTGTTGGTGGTGTTGCAGGTATGTTTGCGCTCGTGCTTGCCTATCTCACGCTGGCTCAGCTGACACTCGCTCGACTTGCTTTGGCTGCACAGGACCCGAATGCTGCGGCGGCACAGTAGCCGTCGATCAAGCTGCATCATCCATATACCCCTTCGCTCGGTCTGCTCTGCTCTCACTCTGCTCTGTTGTCGTGCTGCAATCCATCACCGTCACACCGCTTATTCATCTGCATTCGACTGCTCGCGCAGCTTCTGGATCAACTGCTGCGCCGTCACGCGATGCCGAAAGATCTCTGCCGTCGGATCACCCGCAAGGTCGAGGCGCTTAGTCATCATCGTCGTCGTCGCTACATGTAAGCCGCCAAAGACAGACTCACCTCGATCATCCAGATGCAGCACAGGAATGTCGTACTGGTACTTGCGTCTCCATCGATGCACGTCGGGCAGCGCGTCGTCTCGAATGTTGTACGTCGTTAATTGGATCGGTACCGTGTGGGCAGCTTGGCTGATTTCGTGCTTCATCACGTCGCACAGCTGACAGTCGGTGCCCGTGTACATGGTCAGCTGGAAGGCGCGGTGGCGCGAGAGCAGGCGGAGGGTGCTGAGCATGGTTGGATGCAGTTGGTGTGGCGGTTGAGCGAGCGAGATGCAGCAATGTTATCCAGCAAAACACTCGGGAATCGGAGGCGCAAAAAAAAACGGCATTGAGATTGGACCCTTGTTTGGCCATCCTTCTCTTCTCGCCATCATCATCATCGTCCGCATCGCAACATGTCAGAGACCGCCTCTCAAGATGCTGCGCAGCGCAAGCGCAAACGATCCATCCAGCCCGACGACAGCCAGGATGCACGTGCCTCCAACAGATCCTCCCAAGGCGTGGGTGGAGTCTACATCGACTTGCCCCAACCGTCGTCGTCTGCAATGGCTGCCTACCACGCTGCACAGCATCCACCGTCGAGCCAGCTCGATTCGCAGTTCTCGCTGCCAGGCTCGATCTTTGACGAATCGCAGCCGCAACAGCACGAGCCTTCGAGCGCGTCCGAATACGTTCCGTCGACGCAGGCGCCCGATCAGTCCAGCTCGAGCTCTTCTGCGCCTGTGCCATCGGCAGACGTAGAAGCAGCCGCTCTGAGACCGCTGCCTTCCATCTCGACGCGCGTCTTCGAGCCGTATCTGGACGATACGACGGGCATGGACCTCGAACACGCCGAGCATCGACGAGAGCGCCAGCTAGAAAACTCGTCCCCCGTCGAATCGTTTTCTCCCTCAGAGCAGCAGCAGCAGCAGCAGCCGCAAGACGCGATACGGCCCGAAGACATTCCACGCATTGGCTCGTGGATCCTGCCCCCGCTCACCGCAGAAAACAGCAACCCCACCGCGTCCGACTACACGAGCCAAGAGGTGCTCAGTCAGATCCCGCTCGCCATCGACTACGGCGAGCCCATCGATCCGCAAGACGTGTTGCGCGAGTTGGTGGCGTCTCAGTCGTCGCCTCTGTCGGCACGCCGGCGTCGAGAGCAGCGGCGTGCAAGTGCGTCTCCGGTGGCCGCTGTTCCGATTCAGTCCACTCCTGCGCTTGCTGCGAACGCTACCGATGTGCAACGACAAGAATCGCAGCTGGAGCCCATCCCTTCGCAGCAGCAAGAAGCGCCGTCGTCCACGCCTGCCCTGCCTCCTCCAGCTCCTGCTACTGCTGCTGCTGCTGCTGCTGCAGGGGAAGATGCTGCACCAACCGCCACTGCCGCCACCTCGTCCGCATCCGACTCGAGCAGCAGCTCCGCAGGCTGGTCCACACTGCCTCGGCCCGGAATCATCGAGCTGGTGCATCGATCCGCACACATCCCCGCGTTCCTCAAGGACAAGATCGAACGCTTCGTCCTGCGCGCGCACCGCTCCTGCTCCGCGCCGCCCAAATCGCAGTCTTGCGCACAGCGCGGCTCGCCACGACGCCGCGTGCTCTCGCAATCGCAGTCGCAGTCGCAATCGCAGAACGACGACTCGGAGACGCAGGAGGACGGCTTGCTGCGTACCAAGAAGCTGTGGTGCATGGACCTGCTCGTCTTCCCGGCGTCGTCCCCAACAGCGGTGGTGATGGAGGGGATCACGTCGCAGGTGGTGGTGCGGCTGACGCAGCAGACGCAGCAGTCGCAGGTGTCGGCCGATTCGTTTGGCCCCAAAGCGGTGGCGGTGATCTTGCTGCTGGATACCGTGGAGGCGACGTTTGACGTGCACGAGCTCGACGAGTCGCTTGCGCGCGTGCTGCGCCACGACCGGCGGTACAGTGTCGCGTTCGACGCCGACGGGCGCAGGTGGGACACTGCCAGCAACCACTCACCGTCATCTGCACCTGCAGTAACGGATTTCGAGAGCGCGCTCGCGCACATTGCGTCTCTGCAGACGCGGCTCGACACGCTCGCGCGCGAAAACGACGCGCTCCGCACGGTCAACCAGACGCTGCACAAGGAGCTGGCGGACACGCAGGCGCA